GGGAAGATACCAGGAATCAAATAACATACCAAACCATGCAATGTGCAATCCAACCAAAAATGTCACAAGTTTTCAGAGTTCACTAACATCTCTCAAGACTTGGCAAGCTCACAAAATTTCAGCCATTAGTTCTTGTTAAAAGAACAGATAAAGTTTGCCATGAATCTATAAGCATTGTTTTTCCAACACCCAGTTGTTCTCAAGAACTTTTAATAATTTTGCAGTGTGTTTAAGGAAAAAGGTAGGAACCTGAATCTCAAAGAAAAGGAAAATATAAAGTGAAAAAAGATAATAAAAAGTATAACTCAAATAGATTTCTTTGGGAAATTTGTAATTATTAAAAATAATAAACTAAAATAATAGAAATCAAATTTTAAAGATAACAATTATTTTCATAAATTTCAGAGTCTTAAAACAATTGAAGATAAGTACTTGGTTAACAGAAAACAGCAAATTTCTGTTTAACATCTGTCTATAGGCAATTGGACAACTAAGTATATGGTTAAAGCTTCAGTGGTTTTATGAATATACAGAAATGGAGTGCAAAGTATTAATTTCTTACTTGCTAATATTTTTTGCATTATTTGTGAAAAGACAAAATTGATTCAGAGCAACAATGACTCCAAATTTCTCTAGAGATTCTAGATTTAGATTTATGATTCTAGATTTTAGATATATATTTTAATGTAAAAATGATCAACTGAATTCCATCGAAATAAACCAACTATTTTAAACAGATTGCTATAGTTAAAGCTTCTGAGAATGTCTTGGTAGAATATTTTTAAGTATATAGCTCTGTTTATTCATTTTTTTACCTTGTTCTTGTCTTGCGTATCTACTTCTCCTGGTGCCATATACTTTAACAATAAAGCTAAGCACTTTGGACTCTTATGTTGGGTAGTTAGGTGTAAAGGAATTATTTCTTCCAAATCCTTCTTCATCCAGTTTGCTCTATGAGCAAGTAAAAGTTTCATAAAGCGATAATTGCCCTAGATAATTTAATAGAAGAGGGAAGGAAAAAGGATAGAAGTTAAATCCAGCTAGAAGATAAAAGCCTATGCATTCCTGTTAAGCTACCAAAAACAGATTAAGATAAATCACTTCATAATTTTTCCACCTTTAATATAGCATATAATTGTAATATTGAATTGAAAAACCACCTGAAATCTTTTAGGGGTAAAAATAACAATAAAAAGCATACAATAACGTGTTTGGCTAAGTATAGACATTTTATATCCATTGTACATAACAGATAGTTGCTATCAGTTTTGAAATGTAATTATTAGGAAAAATGACTCTATGTACGTATGCGTGTGTATATACACAAACAGAGAGACAGAGAGACACACACAGAGAAAGAGAGAGAGATACAGAGAGATACAGAGAGAGAATGAGATTTTATTTATTTGATTTAGAAGGTTACCCAACTCATATGATTCTGGGCACATAAAAATAAACAATAAATCAAAAAAGAGAAAAACACCACATAACAATTAATAAACACAATAGCATATGACAAAACAACCAAAAGTTGACCTTAATGTTTGGGGAAACAGCCAGGTCTTAACGGATTTCCAAAAGACAAGTGCTTGGGGTTTGCCATATGTCATAAGGGACATTGTCCCAGAGGATAGAAAAAGGTACACTTTCTAGATTCCTTTATTTATGTATGTATTTGTTTGTTTGTTTATTTAGTTAATTAAGCAATTATAAGATAACAGGTGTAAGTATAAACATAGCTATGGATACATAAAATGGATACATATAAGGAAAATAAAAAAGAAATAATAGGACAGGGACGGTAGGCACATTGGTGCACTTATGCACCAACTATATATATGGCCAATAAACTGTTTAGTTTTATATGGGAAATTGGGAGGCGGAATTGACTTGTGAGAAAGTACAGAGTGATTTGGAATCTGGTTTGTGTGGCCGCACTGGCATCTTTAAGGCTGTCTACCATGAGAGTGGAATTTCACCAGGACAAACACCTCAGCATTTACCAATACCAACTCAGTGTTGCCAGATTGACTACATATAGGTGGACGGGCTAGGGAAAACCAGGGGTTTAGTACTATATTGATGCATATAAATTTTATATTTCACTTGACTTTCCTGCTAATCAGTGCCTCTTGGTAAAAATGCCTTTTTACTTCAACTAAATGAAGTCGAGAGTTTTACTTTTCTAGGAGATCAGTCTGGGTTAGGAATGACATTAACCAAAATCAGCAATTCTGGTCAACCTGGAGGGGACATCATCTCTACCATGGGACTGTGTATGCAATGTCAACTCAAGGGAGCAACCAGGAGAGTTGAATGCTTGGTGGGAGGCATCATCAAGAACTCCTCAGAGGCTGGTTCTTTCCAAGTGGAAAAGAGACACAGAGAGCTGCCGCAACCCACTGAGACCAGGTGGTCCCTGGGCGTCAGGAGAAAAGAGGACTGGGAAGAGAAACCCATGGGTGTGACTTTTAGCTGCAGGAGCTACGGCAGCCACTGATGGGAACAGAGAATGGAACTGGAAGAGCTGGGGGATGAGGAGGAAGAGACAGCTAGAAAGTATAGCCAGGCCAACTGGATGATGCAGCAAGCCATCAAGTTTATGCGGGGGACTTTTGAAAACCTTAAGGCATGCAAAGCCCTCACCTGAGCCTCCTAGCCAGATAATCAGGAGTATTCAGCCTCAGCAATTGATGAGGCAATTGCATTCACCGCAACAGGTGGCGGAGAAGCAGGGTCTACATCAGTAGTGGCCCCCCAGCCCTAGTACCTGGAGGGATGGCCCAGAGCAGGTCCCCTAAGTGACTGGCACCAGAGAGGAGTAGACACAAAATCTTATCACTGAGTATGAAATGTGATGAGAATCCTCAGCAATTGCAGTTCTTCTTGGCCCACGTCTGGACCTACATGCAACAGTATGGTTGTGAAATAGCAATGGAGGGTAGCAAGGTGAGATAAGCCACCATGGCTCTGGAAGGAACTGTGGATTGTCTCCCTCCACAATGACAATGCCTCAGAGCTGAGAAATTTTAACTGCTTCGTGGTAGCACTCTGTAAATGCTTCAAAGATCCCCCTCACTGACCACAAAGCCAAGGACCACATCAAAAGCATTGGTCAGGACTGGAAGAGTGTGGCTGAGTACATCCAGGTATTCTGTGACCTGGCCTCCAAGCTCAACAATAGGCCACATGACACCCTGATCGGCTATTTTAAAGACAGGTGAGGTTCCTCTCACAGTTACTGTTTTTGAGTCAGGTTTTGCCTAATCTGTACTACATAGGTGTAAAACCTTGTTTTTGTGCACATTAAATTTCATGTTGTTAAATATGGTCCCTCTTTTCAAGTATGTCAAGATCTTTTTGGATCCTGAGTTTGTCTTGTAGAGTATTAGCTATTCCTGTTAGCTTAGTGTTGTCTGCAAATTTGGTATCAATTGCTTACTTTCCTCCATGTAGTACCATTAAGAACTACTTATTGAGTATGGTTTGTCAGTCACTTAAAAATCCATGTGGTAGTGATGTTATCTACCCCACTTTTTGCTAGCTTAACAAGAAGTAGATTGTGGTCTACTTTGTCAAATGCTTTATTGAAATCTAAGTATACTGTATCCACAGCATTTTGTTAGTCTACTAATTTAGTCACTTTGTCAAATAATGAAATAAGATTGTTTTGGCCTGATTTGTTTTTAACAAAATCATGCTGGCTTCTCTAACTTTACTTGTTTCTAGATGTTCGCAGATCTGTTTTTCTCCTCCATGCTGCTGCGAGAGTCCAGGATGGGTATGACTCCTCCTGATGACATCATCAAGCTGGGTCCATCTAGTATAAAAGTAGCAGCCTGTGGGAGAAACCCCCCCAATTTTAACTCAGCTTCTTTCGATGACCATAAGCTGGTGTCTCTGAAAGCAGTTTAATTAGCAAAAGCGAAAGCTATCTTCATCATTGGCATCCACTCTCCTGCAATGCCGAGAATTCAACATTTTCTTCAACCAAGGGAGACTGTAAGTAGGGAGTAACCCTTGATCCTCCCTCACAGTCTTTCCTCAGTGATTTCAGCTGCCACAATCGTAAATATCACATTGGCGATAACAGCGCCTCTCAGCTGATCGTAAATTTTCACTTTATTGCCAATTTCGCCGTTCAAGGCTGTTTACAGCCTAAGGAGAGATTTAACCCCTGCGTAACCTGTAGCTCTTGCGAGCAGCCATTTTGAAAACTTCTTCTTCTAAAGAAAGTAGCGAGTGGCCATTTTAGGTGGCATCATCCCCCAAAAGCCAGCTTCTACTATTCATAAGCTCCTATTCAGGCTACTGCATAGACAACACATAGTGAGGATTGCTTCCAGCACCTTTGTGTCTGTTTATGCATACTATGGATCAAGACAAGGCCCACACAGAGCCTTCTGGCCTGATCTCTCAAGGCCCCCAAGCTGGCAAAAGAAAGAGATGGAGACAACGCTTCCAGTCTGTTCAAAGGGAGGTGGCAGCCAAGATTAGGGCTAAAACTTTGGGCCCTAAGAAAACATCCCAGGCTGAATTAAAGGCACAGAAACGAAAGCATGCAGTCTTAGAAAGGCAGTTCAACAAAACTATTGAGCAAATGAGGGGTCAACTACAACAGGCTTCTCAAGCAGCCAATCCTGTAGTTGTTCAGCCAGCTACTTCTAGGGAGAGGGAAGATACCTCAGCTCCTCTTAGCCACCTCCAATCCTGGTCCTCAGAGTGACTTGAAATCCAACCAGGACCTCAAGACTTGAGCAGGTCAGGTCCCAACTTCAGCCAGACTCCTTGGGATCTTTCTTCTTCATCTATCCTATCTGTGGCCCAAAGCAGCTCTCGATCAAGACCAGAGGCCACTTTTACTCCAACAGCAGCAGGTCTTCGGCCCCTGGATCCTCCATCGAGTGGCAGATCTTCTGACCTCAACGAAGTAGTCTCCTTAGCCATCAGACAGGGTCTGGCAGAAGGACTTCAACACATCTTCAGGCCTTCAGACAGACCTCAGCCTTCCTTCCTGGCTTTTCCTCTAGCGCAGATTCCCCAAAGGGGACTACTTCACCATGTAGTACAAAGGGCCCATCTTACCTATGTGGAAGGAGTGGATCTCACTCAGGGAGAGTATGAGGAATCATCTGAGTGCAGCCCCTCCCCTGATTCTGATCTGGAAGAGGGAGAAATCTGGGACCCCAACCTCTCAGAGGAAGAGCAAGATCTGAGACCTGATCCGCCTCCTTCGGCTTCTATATTCAAATCTGCTTTATTCAAGCCTCTCCTACACAAGGCACTGGTAACAGCCCAGCTGTCAGTGGAGGAAATTGCCCCCGAGCCTCAAGTGGTACAATCGGGGCATAGGGATTCCTTCTTCTACAAACCCATTGTTCATTCGGAGGTCCTTCCTTCCCCCATCATCTTTCTTGACTTAGTCAAGGAACAATTTGCCTTCCCCACAGCAGGCCCCCGCCCATCATCCCAAGATAGGAGGTTCTACAACGTGGGTCCTTCGTTAGCTACGGCTCTGGCAGTTCCCCCAGTAGACGCCCCAGTTGTGGCCTCCTTCTCCTCAAGTACTCCCACTGAGCCTGAGGACGTACTAAAGGCAGAGGACAAACACTCCAAACAAACACTGAAGCATAACCATTAAGCCTCGGCATGGGCCATCCGGGCCTCGACTGCTGCATCATTTTTTACAAGGTCTTCCATCCGCTGGCTACGCCAACTTCAAGGCCACATACCTCCATTAAACTGTAGGTCGCATCAAGACCTCAATAAGATCATAGCAGCAGCAGAGTTCTCGGTTGATGCTACCCTCAACGCCGCCAAGTTCTCTTCCAGGGCCATGGTGTCATCAGTGGCAGCTAGGAGACTGCTATGGCTACAAAATTGACAAGCGGAGCCTCGCCGAAAGTGGAAACTAGCTTCTGACCCATGTACCAGTGAGAAGCTGTTTGGAGATGCCCTTGACCCATTTGTTGTTGAAACAAAAGACAAAAGGAAAGTCCTTTCATCAACGGGAAAGAGGGCAGACTTCCACCCTACCCCATACTGGCCTCCCTCATTCAGGCCCGAAAATGCTTCTTGCTTCTCCAGACCTCAGAGAACATATTCTCAGTGTCAAGATCAATGCCATGAGGCTACCGGCAGACAACAAGCTTGCGGGTAAATGGCCCTTTCATGGGGGAGGGGGTCACTCCTTCTGTCGCACTAAATAATCTCTCGTTCTCCCCTCCCATCAGAGGTTGTTTGGCCTCCTTTGCTTCCAGATGGGAGGAATCAACAACAGATGCCTGGGTACTCAATACAGTAAGGTTGGGGTTATAATTATAATTTCTATCATCACCTACAGAAAAAAATCTACTCTTCCCCGTTTCCCAGGACAGTTCATGAAGGGCACTTATGGAATCGGCCATTAGTCACCTGGTCAATATAAGAGCCATTCAACCAGTCCCTGAATTACGTGGACGTGGGCTTTATTCTCGGCTTTTCGTGGTCCCTAAGGCCTCGGGGGGGGGGGTGGCGAGCCATTCTCGACCTAAAATTTCTGAATGAGTTTATCCCATATAGGTGCTTCAAAATGCAGGCTCTGCATTCTATTCTGGGGAGCGTTCAGAAGAGTGATCTCCTCTCTTCCACTGATCTCACGGAGGCTTACCTCCACATTCCCATCTGGCTTCACCATCGCCAGTTTCTCTGTTTCTGTTACCAAAATTCCCACTTCCAGTATTGGGCCCTTCCTTTCAGGCTCTTGTCTGCCCCAAGAGTCTTCACAAAGCTACTGGAGGCATTGGTGGCTTCGCTCCGGTCTGTTCCAGTGAGGATCCAATGCTACTTGGACAACATCTTGATCCTGTCGTCCTCCACCCACTCTGCCCATCAAGATCTTCAAACCACTCTCCATTGCCTCCAGTACCACGGTTTTTCCATCAACTCCAAGAAAAGCCATCTCTTCCCAACTACCACATAGCTCCATCTGGGAGCCAGCATCGACACAACTCTGTGCCAAGTTTTTCTGTCTCCAGCCCAAGGGCAAAGCCTTATCGAGATCATTTGACAGGTCCAACATCAACACACTGTCTCCCTGTCACTGTTGTCCAAACTTTTGGGCAAAATGATCTCATGCACAGGCATCATTCTGTGGGCATGGCTACACTCACGGGCTCTACAATGGTTCCTGCTTCCCTTTCAATGAGCAGGAACCAGCCACACATCTGCCAAGGTCCTGCTCTCTCCAGAGGTCCACCGTTCCTTCAAGTGATGGCTTTCCCCAGCCCTTTCGAAGGTTCTCCCGTTCAAGGAACCAGACAGACTGATCATCACCACTGATGCAAGTCTCCTGGGTTGGGGAGCCCACATGGAGGGTCTCATGGCTCAAGGGATCTGGTCCCGGTTAGACAGGACTGGGCCCATAAACTGGCTAGAACTCAGAGCCATTTATCTAGCCCTGAAACATTTCAGGGGCAAGATAGTGGGGTCCCATGTGCTAGTGCTGACAGACAACATGGCTGCAAAAGTGCACGTCAATCGGCAGGGTTGCACAAGATCCAGGGCCCTCATGAGGGAAGCCGAAAGGTTGGGGAGGTGGGCAGAGAGACATCTGCTGTCTATCATAGCAGACCACATCTCGGGAGTCGATAACTCCCAGGCCGATTGGCTGAGCAGGAGCCCAGTCGACCACGCAGAATGGTCCCTTCCCCAGTCCATTTTCAGGGATCTCTCCCTCAAGTTCGGGACCCTGGAGGTAGACCTCTTCGCCTCTCCCCAAATCGCTCAAGTAAACAGATTTTTTACCAGGTTTCCTTGTCAGGGAGCGGAGGAGACCAATGCACTTTGGAGCAGATGGCTCACCAGTCTCCTCTATGCCTTTCCCCCTCTTCCCATCATTCCGGCGGTCATTTGGAAGATGTTGGGGGAATGGACAGAGCTGATTCTCCTAGCCCCCCTTTGGCCCAGGAGACCCTGGTTTGCAGATCTGGTGAACCTGTCTGTAGCCACTCCCTGGAGGATTCCAGACCACAGGATCTCACTACATCAGGGGGCACTGTTCCACCCAGATCCCCATTTGGTCAAATTGACCATGTGGCACTTGAGTGGCAACTGTTAAGAGTAGCCAATCTCCCAGACCAGGTCATCCTTACTATCCAGGCGTCTCGTAAATCTTCTACGATGCATATGTACAATGCAACCTGAAAGGTTTTTTGTCATTGGTGTCACAGGGAAGGTCTCTCTCCTACAGTAGCAGGGGTACCTCAGGTCCTCTTTTTCCTCCAGGATGGCCTTGACAAAGGTCTGGCTCCTAACACTTTACACCATCAAGTAGAGGCTCTTGCTCCAGTCATCTCCTGGGATTCCTTTCCTTCCTTGTCCCATCATCCTTCAGTTCAGAGATTCTTAAAAGGGGCTTCCAATCTCCGCCCTCCTGTGGTTCACAGGTTCCCATCCTGGGACCTCCAGGCCCTAACAGAACCTCCCTTCAAACCCCTCAGAAAGGTGTCCCTTCAATTCTTGACCTTCAAGGTGGTTTTCTTAATAGCCACCACTTCAGCTAGAAGAGTGTCAGAGTTGGCTGCTCTATCTATACAGCAGGACCTCTGCACCTTTCATGACAATAGAATTGTTCTTCGTTTAGACCCTACCTTTGTATCCAAAATAAATTCTGTATTCCACAGATCCCAAGACATAGCGGTTCCTGATTTTTGTTCCCATCCACACCATGCCTTAGAGCGCAAGTGGCACACCTTAGATGTTAGAAGGGCTCTTAGAATTTATATCAAATGTTCTTCAATGTTTAGGAAGACAGAGGCTATGTTTGTATCCTTTTCCCCTTCCCACTGGGGGAACAAGGCCTCTCCTGCCACCTTAAGCAGGTGGATCAGGACTTGCATTGCACAGGCCAAAAAAGGCAAAGCTCTGCCAGGCACCCCTAGAGGAGATTTGCAGAGCGGCTACATGGACATCCCTGTCTCCGTTCATCAGACACTACCACCCGGATTCTTATGCCTCCACAAGCGTGGCTTTTAGCAGATGGGTTCTTCAGCGAGTGGTGCCTACTTCGGAGTGAGAGACGGGACGAGGACCCTCCCGAGGACATGAATGCTTTGGTATGTCCCATCCTGGGCTCTCGCAGCAGCATGGAGGAGAATGGGCATTGGTAAATTTGCCTGAGAACACCTTTTCTGTCTAGGCTGCTAGAGAGCCCAGCCCCTCCCTTGTTGCGTCTGGATTGTGGTGAGGTATTGGCTTTCAGAGACACTCACTAAAGTCTATCAAGTATCTTTGCCAAAGCTGGGGGGTTTCTCCCACAGGCTGCTACTTTTATACTAGATGGACACAGCTTGATGATGTCATCAGGAGGAGTCATACCTATCCTGAGTTCTCTAGGAGCATAGATAGAAAGGGCATTCTCAGGCAAATTTACCAACGCCCATTTTATTATCTTTTCCAGTATGTTCCCAGGTATTGATGTTAGGCAAACGATCTATAGTTTCGGGTTGCTGTTTTTTTCCTTTTTTGAAGATGGGAGCCACATCAGCTATTTTCCAATCCTCAGGTACTTCCCTTGTGCTCCAGGATTTTTGAAAGATATGGTACAATGGTTTTGAGATAACATTTGCAAGCTCTTTCAGAACTCTGGGATGTCATCCACAAGGTGCCGGTTGATTCCACTTGGAAAATGTAACTGAATGAAGAGAGAATCAAGGCAGAAATGGTGCTAATAAGTGCAATAAGTGCAGATCCCAATATTAAGGAAGAACCAGATCAGCTGCCTACAGACTATCTGCAATCTCTTTAAAGTTCATTTAATAGAATGGTTGGAAATTCACAAAGACAAGATAGGAGGAGTTTTAAATATAGCAGAGCAGCAGTTTGAGCTGCTTTTCAACTGTCTCCATAGGTATGTACTGCTTTTTTTCCTGTACAGCCTCAGTGGGTTTGCCCCATTTCCAAATCCAATCTTTTTTTAATGAAATTTTATATAGCAAATTTTATCTTGTCAGACATTTATTCTGCTAATGTATA